GAGCAGAAAAACCAAGGTGGGGTTGTATGAACACTCCAAGAGGAGCTCCGGTCAGAACTTCCAGCCCAAACTCCGCAGGTCACCAGCCCTAGCACAGGAGGGATGAAAGTGACCTGCATGCCATCAAGAGCTTCCCGGGACCTGCTGGAGGGCTCGCTGGGCCCGCTCAGGTGAGTGGAGGTTGGGGAGCAGCATGTGCAGGGAGGTTACCTGTGTACGTGGTCTGTCCAAACATCCAAGCTCCTTCCACAGGGATGTAGCCTTTACCACTGGGGCAGATCTCGCTGAATTTGACTGTGGAGAAGCATCCGAGCTCAGAGAGAGGAGGGCTCTGTCCCCTTCTCTCAGTGTCACCCTGCAGGACTTAGGACCATTGGGGCTGTACCTGAGTCCTCAGCTGGGCAGAGGTCACAGGTGTCTCCCCAGCTGGCACCCTGGGTGCAGCAGCACTCAGCCTGCGTGGTGTTCCGGCCCAGGAGGCGGGAGCAGGGCGGCTGGTCTTTGTGTCCGGAGTAGCATTCCATGCGGACGGGGCCTGAGAGGTGGGCCCCTGGCGGGGCCTCGGGGATGCTCTGACCTGTGTGTGATAGAGGCCCCTTGTTATTATCTGTTCATGGCCCCCTGGGACGTCCTAGCCTTTACAAATTTAACACTGAAATACCACTTTACAAAATGCACAAAATGCTCTTACCTATATTTCCTCACTTGATGCTCTCCACAGCTCCATGTGCTGAGCATCATTACCATCAGCACCACTTACAGACAGGCAATCGAGATAGAAAAGCGAGGACATACCACACCCCAGCTACACTACCCCTGCCCACACCGCCCCAGTCCTGGCCAGGCTCCCTCTCAGGAGCTGGAGAATGGCTGTGCGTAATGGCCGGGCAGGGTCTGGAGCGGGCTCACCTGCGGCCCCCCGTGGGCGTGGGCGGCAGCGCCCCTCCTGAGCATCGTACTCCTCCAGGTCGCTGGCGCAGAGGCACAGGAAGGAGCCCTCCACGTTCTCACAGAGCGCCGCCCCGCACACGGCCAGCATGAGCTCACACTCGTTCACGTCTGCCAGGCATGAGGACAGGCTCATGGGTGGAGAAGAGGCAGCCCACGCCCTCTGCCCCTGCCTCCAGCCTGGGGGGGCAGGTGCAGGGCAGATACTGAGCCCCTCAAGCAAAAGAGGCTGGGTCTTGGGGGAAGAGAAGGAATGGGTATGAGTTCGCAAGAAGGAGGAACAGATGAACGGAGGGCATGGGAAGAGGGAGAGAAGGGTGGCAGACAGGGTCACTAAATGGACAGAGAAGAAAGGTTCCTCCCTCTGCACATTCTCTGACCCACATGCCTCTTGAGACCCCGAGGTCTCTGGAGAAGGGTGGCACCTTCATGAATGTGCCTGCTCCCCCTGGCGGACTGTGGCCATGCTTCCCCTACCCGCCTGGCCCAGGGGTATAGCTGACATCTCCCTCCCTTGCCCACTCTATGAGGACCCATTATGGAGCCAGGTGGCCATGACCATGTCAGGAGGAGGGCCCAGGGCCTCTATGAAGGACAGCCAAGATCTGTGGAACTGGGACAAAGGGCCCATGAGCCTCCCCTTCCCTGGCCCAGAGCCCAGCTAGCCCCCAGGCTTCTCACCCACGCAGTCCCAGCCGGTGGACGAGGTCTCGAAGCCCTGGTCACAGAGGCAGCGGAAGGAGCCCTCCGTGTTGTCACAGAAGCCGTGGCTCCCGCACACCGTGTCGTTGGCACACTCGTCTATGTCTGCGGACAGTGGAGACTACAGTGGAGGGTGTGCTCTATGCACTCTCTTTATTTGTTGGGAATACGTACTTATTCGGTCTATTAGCACCAAGATCTGTGAAAAGTAACTTCTAAACACAGGACAAGAAAACTAACATTCCTCTTCAGTTTTTGTGCAAGCCCTGCTATACGGAAAATACACGAACTTTCAAACAGCTGCAGAAATAATGTCCTCAGGGGAAAATGAGAACTAGGTGCTTCAGCCCTCCCGCCTCGGACCCCCCTCCCTACTCACCTATGCAGTCTCCAGAGGGGGCCAGGTGGAAGCCAGGCTGGCAGCCCAGGACACAACGGTAGGAGCCAGGGTTATTCTCACACCGCCAGGCCCCGCACACCGGGTCTCCGTGGTCCTCGCATTCGTCAATATCTGTCCCCAGAGCCACGAGAGGAGACAGGAGTGGCCAGGTGACTGCTCTGGCCCCACCTTTCCAGCATCCCCAGGCCATGCCCCACCACCTCTGGGGTTCCTGATCTCTTCCAAATTACTGTGATCAGGTCACCCCCCCAAACATCAAGTTCAGGGTCATTTCCCCTGACCCAGCAGGGATGGACATCTAAGAGTTCTGCGCTATTTAGAAAAGCACCGAGCTCTTAGCATCCTTTCCCCCACCCGTCTGCCGATAGAGGAGCACTTTATACTTCTCTGTGTATAAAACCTTCACCAAAGTGTATTACAGCGAGTTATCTTCGTATCTGTCTCCTTTGCTCAATTTCAAGATTGCCCGTAACTGTCTATTTGTCCTAGCAGAAGACATTGAACCTAGCAGGTGTTTAATAAATGTCTATTGAATCAGTTTGGCTTTAAAAACTGGATTGTGTGCTCTGCTCGCACAAGGGTGATGGCTGTCTTCATTCTGTCATCTGCGCACAGTCCCCGAGTCAGCAGAGGCTCAATAAATGCATCATCCATCCGGTGATGCATGTGTGGAAAGTGCCTGTTTCCAGGAAGCTGCAGTTCCTGGTCCCAGGGAAGTGAGGACCGGGCAGGAGGGGGAGAGTACGCAGACATGGGGGCAGAGCCTGCCCATTCCCTCCTGAAACCCTTACCCACACACTCCCCGCTCTCCGGGGAAGGCTGGAAGCCAGTCTCACACAGACAGTCGAAGGAGCCCTCGGTGTTGACACAGTGCCCTCCCAGACACCGGTCTGTGACTGCACACTCGTCCACATCTATAACAGGGACATCTGTCAGCCGACCCAGCCACAGCTCCCTAGACCCTGGGCCCCACGTAGCCCATAGGAGGGCCAGGGAGTGGCTCAGGGTAGGAAAGGGCTCAGGGTTTGAGGAAGAGTCCAGAGCTGGGAGCCAGAGGCCAGGCTGGGGGGAGGAGCCCTGGAACTGGGGCTCTGTCAAGGGGAGAAGGGTGACATTCAAAGAGTCCAGAGGGTGCATTATGGTCACCCTCCCATCATCCCTTCCCTGGGTGGGACCAGGAGCATTTTATTTCCGTACTCTAGCCTGTAGCGCCCCCTGCTGCTGACAAGCGGACAAGGACAGTTGGCTTCTCACCCTGGCAGCGGGTGCCTCCCTCTGCGCTGACAAAGCCGGGGGCACAGAGGCAGAAGAAGGACCCATGGCTGTTGAGGCACTCGCCGTGGGGTGCGCAGTATTCCTCTCCCACGCACTCGTCCACATCTGCAGGGAAAAGATAGGCAGTGGTATCCCCTGGGACTTCCCACCTCCCCACACACTCACTGCTCCCATCCCCGTGGGGAGACCTGAGCCGCTCACCCTCACACACGGTGCCATTGGCCAGCTGGAAGCCCGGGGGGCAGAGGCACTGGTAGGAGCCAGCCGTGTTCTTGCACTCGCCTCCCCGGCAGTTGCTCTGGAGGTCTTCACACTCATCCACGTCTGCAGGGCCACACGGGAGGAGGGAAGCCCATGGCAGCGCCTCCCAAGGACAGACACCAATGGGGAGGGTTCCAGGGGGCCTGCCACCTGCCCGAGGAGCCTGGCCTCATGGAGGCATCACCCGCTGACAAAGCAGCCCAGCTTGGAGAGCCTTTGGGCAGCAGGATGACTGACGCTCCCTCCACTTCTGCCCCAGCCCGGCAGGCTCCGCTGCCTCGGGCTGGGCTTCTCCAGCTGCCCATACAGTGCCCGCCTTGGGGACACTTGGCCTCTCTCAGCAACCCTGGCCTAGGAGGGCCACCCCCCAAGGCCCTTAGGGCTCAGATTTTACTGAGAAGCAACAGGAACACAAATGAGAACTAAACCAAGGAAACAGATACACACAGAACCTGAGAAGATAACAGAAACTAGATTCTTCAAGTTGGCCTACAGACCCCCTGGTACAGGCCAGTGTTTTTCAAAATAGAGTTCCAGTGCCCGTCCTTAAGAGGAACCCTTGGGGAGCTCGTTAGAACACAGATCCCACCCCTCACCCCATATCAGAGGTTAATTTGGCAGGCCTGGGGCAAGGCCTGGGGAGCTGCCCCACCCCCACCCCAGCGATGCGGATGTGTGCTGAAGCATGTGACACAGGGCTCACCAGCTCCCGGCCCCAGACCTGCAGGTGTGGACATCTGAGGTGGATAGAGGGGCCCCTAGTCTGGGTACAGCCCCTGCTGTGTCCCGGCCACTCCTTTCTCTAAGGGTGATGGCTTGGTCTCCCTCCTCTGCCACAGGGCCTCTTACCTTCACAGGAGTGGCCCCGCGGGCTGGGCCGGAAGCCCTGGTCACAGTCCCTGCAGGAGAAGGAGCCGGCAGTGTTGGTGCAGACTCCTGAGGGGCAGACTCCCGGGAAGGCGCACTCGTCTAGGTCTGGGGCAGACAGCAGCTGTCACCTGGGGGCTGGGGAGGGCTCCCTCCACCTGGTCAGGCAGGAACCTCCCAGGCCTCTGGCCGCCCTCTGAGTGTGTAGGACTCTCTCTAGGCCGCTGGGGAAGGGCAGTCCTGGCTGTGGATTTCTACGGCAATCTCAGCACCCTTTCCCCAGAATGCTCCTGGGCAACTCTACCATTAGCTTCCCTCTGGTCTCGCACTCCCCTTTCCTCCTGTCCTCACCTCTAAACTTGAGGATTACGACCGTAAGAGCTCTCCTCGGGGCCAAGTCCATATACAGGGTCGTCTAGCCTAACCTGGAGACCCTCAGCATTAGCCCAAAGCTAGGGGACAAATGGAGTGTTCGTTGGGAGGTAGGAGGGACTATATTACATTCTCGGTCCCTCTCTGCCACCCCCTCCCCAGGGTTACCTTCACAGGCAGTGCCTTCTTCATTCACCCAGTACCCACTCTCGCAGGCTGAGCAGGCGAAGGAGCCCTCCGTGTTGAGGCAGAGGCCTGTGGGGCACGAGGCCCGGCTGGCACACTCGTTGACATCTGAAACAGGCCATGAGTGCCGGGTGGGACTCTGCAGGACAGATGTGCCCGGACAGCAGACTGACAGGTGGGTGGGGACAGGGGAAAGGCCGGGACTTGCGGCGATGTGTTGGGTAGCATGGTTGGGATGCGGGACCAGGGTGGACTGGGAGTGTGCGTACAGAGGGAAGGAGCTGCGGGCTGGTGAGCTGTGGAGGAAGCCTGCTTTGGCATCTTTGTACCTTGGCAGCTCTTCTCATCTGAGGTGACTTCGTAGCCCTGCTCACAAGAGCATCTGAAGGAGCCGTCCAGGTTGTAGCACCTTCCATGGGCACAGACCCCGGGGGTCAGGCACTCGTTCACATCTGAGGGGAGAAGTCCAGGGTAGCGAGCTGGCCTCCTCTCCTCCAAGCAGTCCCTAGTCAGGCTTAGAGGATCTCCATTATGAGGCCAAGGAACCACCATGCAGAGGACCCAGAGGCCACCCTGCGAAGGCCACGAGGTCATTCGTGCTCCTGGCCCCACTCACCCAGGCAGGGCAGGATGCCCTTCCCCACGGAGCTCACTCCATTTCTAACTAGTAACACTGAGAACCCTGCATGTGTCCCAGAAAAGAGGGCAGGTCCCCCACTCACCCAGGCAGGGCAGGATGCCCTTCCCCACGGAGCTCACTCCATTTCTAACTAGTAACACTGAGAACCCTGCATGTGTCCCAGAAAAGAGGGCAGGTCCCCCACTCACCCAGGCAGGGCAGGATGCCCTTCCCCACGGAGCTCACTCCATTTCTAACTAGTAACACTGAGAACCCTGCATGTGTCCCAGAAAAGAGGGCAGGTCCCTCAGCCCTGGTTTGGCCCCTCCCAGGACACCCGGAGTGAAGTGTCCAGGACCCGGACTCACCTTCCAGTGGTCCTGACCCTCTCTGGCTTCCTACCTGTCAACATTCTATGAGCTCATGTTCCCAGCCTCACAACCAGCTCCTCTAGGTGAGTGGGCCATGCAGAGAAAGGCCACGCTCTGCCTGGGTGGCTGAAGGGCAGTGTCAAGGGCCTGGGAAATGTCTGCCCTCTCCAGAGCCTCAAAGCATCTATTCACAGCCCAGTCCCTCCTGGCATTCTGCACCCCCGGCCCTCCTTCCTGCAGGGGCGGAGGGAAAAGAGCATTCCTCCTACAGCTGACACGCAGCCCCCTCTGCAGGGAGAAGAGCACCCACTGTCCAGTTGGGCGGTGCTGTCTAGATACTGCTGTTGGGATGCAGGGGAGCTGAAGACCCCTCCTCCCAGGAAAACACAGCAGGGCCTGGCTGCCAGCTCACACCACCAGAGCCAGCCTCTGCCTAAGATGCTTGGCACTTCGCTCTACCCAGGATCCAGCCTCAGAGGCTTCTGGGACCTTGGGCTGTCGCTCCTGAATGGTTATGACCAAGGAGCCAAAGTGGCCCCCGCCCTAGCTGATTCAGAGAGCGGAGCATCAGTAACTGCAGCCCACCCACCTCATGGCCAACGTCATCTGGGAACCCAGCTGGCTCACGACGGACAATAGCCTCCAAACTGTGTCCCTCTGCCCACCTCGTTCTCTCCCTGTGTGTGGGCTCAACCAGAGGTCCCAGGCCAAATAGTCCTCTTAGTACCTTGGCAAGCAGCCCTCACCTACACAGCTCCCGCTCAGGCCTCTGTAGCCCTCCTCGCAGGCCAGGCAACTGTAGGAGCCGGGGGAGTTGATGCATCTCCCATCAGGGCAGGTGCCAGGGTGACGGCATTCGTCAATATCTGCAAAATAGCAGCCCCTCCCTTGGTCATCCCTGGGAACCACAGCACATGGGGAGGTCTGGGAGGAAGCAAATCCTGACCCTGCCCTTGGTTGGGAGGAAAGAATGTCAGTTTCTATACAGATGGAAAGTAGGAAAAAGTGAGTGTTGTCCTGTGTTCCCAGATCCGCTTTCCACCCACTGTCCTGGACAAAGAGAGAGGTGGAAGAGCTTTAGGAAGGGAGATTCCCTGGGTGGGTGCAGAGGCTGTGGTTGCCACTAGCTGTGGGAGGGTGAGTCCATATCCAGGGCCTCAGGTGATCTGATCAAGTTAGGAAGGTTCTAGCACAGGGAGAGACCTCTGGGTTGGGGCTGCTTAGTGAGCTGGGCTGTTGGAAACAGCCTTTTAAAAAAAAATTTAAATTCTTTATTGTTGAAAGTTTTACATATGGCCCCCCCCCCCCCATTGACCTCTCCTTGGCCGCAACTACCCCCCCAGCACATGCCCTCACCCTGCTACAGTGTCTTGAATCCATTTGCTATGCTTATATGCATGCATATAAGTCCTTCAGTTGATCTCTTACCGCCCCCCTTCTGCCCTCCTCCATGCCCTCCCTGCTACTGTCTGTGTCCATTGGTTATGCTTATATGCATGCATACAAGTCCTTTGGGTGATCTCTTACCCCTCACTACCTCCCCTGTCTTCCCTCTGAGGTTTGACGATCTGTTCGATATTTCTATGTCTCTGGATCTATTTTTGTTCATCAGTTTATGTTGTTCATGATAGTACACAAATGAGTGAGATCATGTGATATTTATCTTTCTCCAGCTGGCTTATTTTGCTTAGCATAATGCTCTCCAGGTCCATCCATGTTGTTGTGAATGGTAGTTCTTTCTTTTTTATAGCAGCATAGTATTCCATTGTGTAGATATACCACAGGTTTTTAATCCACTCATCTGCTGATGGGCACTTGGGCTGGGAACAGCCTTCTTATTTCCCTTGATGAACTCCTGTGTTTTATTTGTTTGTTTGTTTGTTTGTTTTGGTTTTTATACGTGGTGACCATTACTGGGATTGTATGTGCTTGGCACAGCAAGCCCCAGAACAGATCACCAGCTAGGTGCTGAAGGCAAAATGGACTTCCTGTACCAGAAAATGAGGACTGAAGAGGACCGCTAGTCTTCAGTGTGACCAAGACCAGCCCTGAGGCTGATGCAGAGCTAAGGGTGGATACTGGCAAGATTTCTATGCTGGAGAGAAGACTTCTTCCAGCCAAGGACCATGTAGAGCTCCCAGCACCCATGCTGAGCCAGAAAGGATGAGCCTGAGCACCAACCAGACAAGCAGGGGACGAGGGGACCCAGGAGGGAGAGGGGCAGCAGGCTGTGGTTACCACTAGCCGTGGGAGGGAGTGACAACAAGGAGGAGGATGGATATCTTCTCCCAGGAACTGCACCCAGGGTTCTTCCCCATGTGACTTGGCATCTCGGGAGTCCATATCCAAGACCCCAGGGGATCTGGCTGAGCTAGGAAGGTCCTAGCACAGGGAGAGAACTGTGGGTTGGGGCTGCAGGAAAACACTATACTCCTCCAGCCCAGTGTCAAGGCTCCCGGTCCTGACACACAGGTTGACTGAGCTCCAGAGGAAACATGGAGGTTTACTCTCCCTAAGTGGGTAACTGTCGTTGTCTTGGAGGAAGTCTACCTGCTTATGCAGATTCAGAGGCCCTACTGCTCAGGAGGAAGACCTCCTCAGCCCCATTGAGGAAATGCAGAAGGAAGGGCCAAGGGTCAGACACGGGCTTTCTGCCAAGGGACTAAAGGCAGAAGATGTCATTATAGGACAGGACCTGGCTACTGCAGTGAAGGGTGAAAACGAGTGTCTCCTGAGGTTGTGTGGCCTGTAGGAGACCGGACACATTAAAGCCCTCTGTCTTCAGGGCCCTCTCAAGACCAAAATTTCATCCTGAGGGTCCCGAAGAAGAGGAAGACATTCCATTCACCGGGCAGGTGGTTAGTCAGGTGGGTATCTGCAGGAGATACTGAGAACTCCTACGTAATCTTGGGGACACTGAGGCAAGGCTCACCTCTGGAAAGAGGGCAGCCAAGCGCTCTAGTTGGGTGTGGTGACACCAAGCTAAACTATTCTAAGGGTTTCTGTACAGACAGATGGAGAGAATGAGGCAGAGAAGGAGGGAATGAAGGATCTAAGACCACCACTTTGGCCACCCAGGAGACAGCAGCCAGCACCATAGCCTGCTGGCCTTGGCCGAGGTACTGGAAGGAGGTACTGGCTGGGCTAAGCCATTGGGAATGATCCCTGCCTCAGGAAGGCGAGACTTCAGGGATGAAGAGAAGGAGAACAAGGGGAGGCAAGGATCCTCCTCTAAGACCACACTGAGAAAAAAATGAAGTCTTCAGATCTCACCTACAGGTTTCAGGCCGTGTAGGCTCGCCTACAGGTTTCAGGCAGTGTAGGAAGGAGATTAGATATGCCAGCGGCAAAAACCCCTGAGGTCTGTCCTGTCCCAAATTATTTGGGCACATCTGTGGAGGCGGTGCACGAAGTGTGTGATTTATGGACCAAGGCATTTAATTGTGTGCAACGCTGCAGAGCGCTCTTTCTGTTCTATAATGACATCTCTGGCCACATTCACGACACTGGCTATTCCTTCAGCTTGGTTCGAGAGCTAGGAAACCCAGCTGACCCATGATGGACATGTGGCATTGGTATAAAGTTTGCTGTCTTCTGGGAACATTTGAGATCTTGCTCCCAGCATATGTCATCAATTTGGCTCAAATTAACTCATAAACATTTTTTAAAAAGTTTGCTGTGCTCTAAGTTGCTAAGATTGGAGTTGTTGGTTAGTGCAACATAACCTAGTGTATCCTGGGAGGCCACGGTTGCCTTCCTGCCTCAGAGCCCCAGCCAGCGATGATCACACCTGAGAGGTCTGTCGGCAAGTGGGAGAGGGAGGGCAGAAGAGCAAAGCAGCCCTTAGTCTCCACCTGAGCCAGGGAAGGCCCCTTCTAAATGGGAGCCATTAGCTGACCAATCAGAAGGAGCCAGATATGCCCTAACTGGTTTGGTTCAGTGGATAGAGCATTGGCCTGCGGACTCAAGGGTCCCAGGTTCAATTCCGGTCAAGGGCATGTAACTTGGTTGCGAGCACATACCCAGTAGGGAGTGTGCAGGAGGCAGCTGATCGATGTTTCTCTCTCATCGATGTTTCTAGCTCTCTATCCCTCTCCCTTCCTCTCTGAAAAAATCAATAAAATATTTTTTTTAAAAAAGGAGCCAGATAAAGATTCTGCATGAAGTGGTGGCCACATCTAACCAGTCCCTGTTAAAGGCACTGCCTCTATTGTCACCAGGTTTACTGAGGCTGTTCCATTAACCTTTTGGTGTCTGGAGTGGAGCCTGATTTTCTGCCTAGTCTAGGGTTTGAATTTTTATTTTTAATATATTTTTTATTGATTTCAGAGAGGAAGGGAGAGGGAGAGAGAGAGATATATAAACATCAATGATAAGGGAGAATCATTGATCGGCTGCTTCCTGCATGCCCCCTACTGGGGATTGAGCCCACAAACCGAGCTCAATGTGCCCTGACCAGGAATCAAGCAGTGACCTCCTGGTTCATAGATCGACTGTCAACCACTGAGCCACATCAGCCAGGGCTGGGGTTTGAATTTTAATCTAAGATTACGGTATGTTTTGGTAAGTTTCACCCTGGTCATGAGGGTGGGAGCTATCATTCTTGCTTATTGTTATATCCCTAGCCCATGGCTGGGACACGGCTGGCACTCCCCAAATGTTTGTGGATCAAACAATGAGACCATGTGACTAAAACTTCACACCCTCTTGGTATGAGGCTGCTGAAGAGACCCCAGAAGACCCATGGAAACAGTCACTCCAGGGACCAGCTTGCCAACCTGCTGTCCACACTGGGAGAATTCCAGAGCTTCTCCACCAGCGCACCAGCCTTCGCACCAGGAAATGGAAGGGTGCTCGCCCCTGCTCCTTGAGAGAAAGCAGGGTGGGAGGTGCTTAATTAGGGACTAGAGCAGGGGTCGGGGTAGATACCTACTTTTTGACTCGAGGGCCACAATGGGTTCTTAAACTGGACCGGAGGGCCGGAACAAAAGCATGGATGGAGTGTTTGTGTGAACTAATATAAATTCAAAGTAAACATCATTACATAAAAGGGTATGGTCTTTTTTTTTTTTTTTTAGTTTTATTCATTTCAAATGGGCCGGATCCGGCCCATGGGGCGTAGTTTGCCCAGGGCTGGACTAGAGGCTCAGGTGACCTTGGATGTGGGTGGGGGAGAGCAAAGCCCTGGCTGTCTGCAGGGGAATGGAACCCCTTTCCGTGGGAACCCAGAGTCTTGGTACAGAAGACATACCATTGAGACTTTGGATGGGCTGCTGTCCAGACCACTCAGGCCTTCCAGCAGAGACTTTGAGTTTAGGTAGAGAGAGTGGTTTCTGAGTTGGAAAAAGAAGAAAGAAAGAGAGGAAATTGACTGGGCTCCCGGGGTGCAGGGCCGGGTCTGTGGTTACTGAGGGAAACCTGGAGACGTGTGCAGGCTGCATCAGTCTTTCTTTCAACAGCTTCAGCGTCTGCCCTGGGCTGGAGCTCAGCCTGGCCTCCCAGCTGAGGTGTGTGTCTGGAACCTTTCCTCCGGAAGGGGAGGGGACAACCCAGAGGTGTGATCTGGGACATGGGGGCATGGTGGGGGCGGGGGGGCGGCTAGATGTGAAAAGGAATGGGTCTCTCAGATAGTAACACTTCTCCGTGTTCACCAAGGGTCTGCATGTGCACCTTGTATGGCTTATTCCGTCCTCACTAGAGCCTCTGAGAGGCCATGATGGTTTCAATTTTCAGACATTGAGACAAGAGCCAAACCCAAGCCCGCCTCCACCAGACCCTGTGCCCCTATCATGGACTGGTTAGCATATATCTGATCTTTTTAATGTCCAGGTGTTCGCTTGGTTCATTTCCTTTAGTTTTGCTTTTCTTTTTAATAAAGTCTAAGGTCAAATTCATATGTGATGCTTAAGTGAGGCCATCTGACAGATACCTCGCATACTACCTGGCACATGGTAGGCACCCATCAAATGCAACTCCCTTCACTCTCCATTCTCCGGGAGGAGCCAGGCTGCCTGTCTCCATCGTGCTAATGAAAACAGGGGGCTCTGGCTTTGATCGTGCAGGCTTGAGTTTTAAAGGGGGAGCACCAAGAGGAAGGCATTGAGAGTGGAAGGTAACATACCCGGGGGGCAGGGGTGTAGCACTCAGTTTTCTGTCCTACAACCCCAGCCACCTTTGCTAGGGTCTTCTAGGACTCTGGACTTCGCTTCTGTAGTCGTGCATTGGGAAGCGGGGCTCGCCCTTCACAAGGCACACCACTTACCCCTCACCTACATGACCCTCTGAATCCAGGCAAGTCCTGGCCAGGAAACGCCTGGAGGCTGGGAGGAGGCTGGGCCTAACCTCAGATCTGGTGCAAGATTTCTCTCCAGAGAGAACCTTGAATTACCCTCATGTATTCCGTTCTCAGCCAGTCTTAGAAACACATAACCCAAGCCTCTTACAGGCATTTGATACCCAAGCCTGGCAGGGAGGTGGTAGTGGCAGAGCTGCCAAGAGGTGGCATAATAGTGGCAGGTTCAAGCCAGTTGGCAATGTCACAGCCATCTTTTGGCCTGAAAAATGGAGTAAGGATAGGGGCTCATTCATTCTTTCAACTAAAATTCGTTGGGGTGTCCAACACATAGACAATTATCATGGGTTGTTGAGGATGTGGTCCAGTTCCAAGGAGCTCACAGCCTACATGCTGTAGCAAGAAGGCCAAGGTTGAGGCCCCAGGTGCCTCCCAGATAGATTGATTCCTTCTCTCTGCACAAGGAGAGAGCACCATGACTCATGGTGAGGGGCACAGGAGTACACGGGGATGTTCCGGGGTCCCTGGTACATAAACTTGCTTCAGGGGGCAGGCAGGATGCCAAAATACTGCTGAGGGGATGCAAGAGCTCAAAAGTGCCCAGAGAGGCCTCTGTCCATAGGAGTGGGCTTGGCATCAAGGGGCCCTATCCCACCAGGGACAAGCAGAAAGGGAAGTTGGGGCAATCAGTGCAGGGGAGGGACAGGAGATGGTGGGGTGGCACCCACTTCCTTACCTTGGCAGTGTCCCTTCCTCACCATGATGTAGCCCTGATCACACTCGCAGTGGTAGGAGCCCTCCGTGTTGGTGCACCGCCCACCACGGCACGCCTCTGGCTGCTCACACTCGTCTATGTCTGCAAACACACGGAAAAGGCCTGAGTTGGAGCCAGCCCTGCAGGGGGTCCTGGGACATTCCCTTCAGCGGCCAAGGACAAGGACACCCAGGCTGAGGCCCAGGAGGGGAAGGCGTCCTTGCTGTGCCATGTCTCCCAGAGGGCTTCTATGCCAGGTCTGAGACTGACCTCGCTCAGGCCCCTGCAAACTCTCGAGTTCCGTTCTCCGAGGGAGGCTACTTCTGGGGCCCATGGGGACCCTATAGCTATCTTCTCACCACAATGCAAGGACTGGCCTTGAGGTCAGGTGGCCACAGGGCGTGATCTGAGGAAGCCAACAGTCCCCCTCCTGACCCTAATACATCCCCTGTCTTGATCAGGTCCTAGAATTCTTACAGCCTCCTTAAAGGTTAGGGATTTAGCAGCAAGTGAGAGACAGCATGTTGGGCAGCTGAGGAGCTATCAGTGAGGTTTATTCCATTGTCCCAAAGCAGACTGGTGCCCACGATGGCTCAGAAGCCCAATCCTGCTCATGCCGCTCCCTGGCTTAACCTCTATCAAGGTTCCCCACTGCTCAGCCTGGCCTCAGTTTTGCTATCTTCACCAAACCCCACTTATTTTAAGTATTTAATAGTCAAATCATTTATATTAATCAATTATATTTATATTATTCGAATTCTAGAAATTGCACAGTAATGAAATAATTCATAAAGTAAATAATGACTATAATGACATATTGTTTTCTGAGACTGGTAACATTGGGAAGTGTTCTCCTGGGTAAGGCCTCCTTACGTGTCAGCCAGGCCCCACTGGGAGACAGCTGACCTTGAGCTCCTTCCCGCCTCTCCCAGCTGTCAGGTCTGGCAGAGACATCCCGGACACCCAGGCTGGCACACAGCAGAACCCCTTATCTGGGCCAGTCCTGGTGACACCATTCCCTGCCGTAGCCAGCGCCCGAGCTGGGCCTACTGAGAGCAGTGCCTCTGGCCCACAACACCTGCCAAGGCCCTGCAGCCTAGAGACGCCCCCTGCCCCAGCCAGCTCCCCTCGCCAGCTCCAGTTGTTGGGAGCACTGCTGCCTGGGTCATGTCCCTGAAAGCCGGCTGAGCGAATCGCCACCCTCTGCCTTCAGAGCCTGTGGGACAGCGTCCAAGCACTTCAACCTGGCACTCATGACACTTCACCACTGGCCTCCACCCTTGCCACTTCCTCCCCATGCCCCGCACCCCGTCTCACTGGATTTGGCATTATTCCCAGAGTGTGCCAGGCCTGTCCACTACCTGCTCCCTGCAGAAATGGTTCCCTTTCCCTGGAATGCCCTCCACTCCCCCCAGTCCTTCACTTGGTGTGTAAGGGAGGGTGTTGTTGGAAGCAAAGCTCTGCCACAACTAGATGTGAGGTCCCTGGGTGTTTCCATCCACCTCTCTGAGCCTCAGTTTGGTAACTATAAAATGGGTATAAGGATTTCTCTTGCAAGGGGTTGGGATAATGAACTTCATAAAGCGCTTAGGACAGTGCCAGCATGCAGGGAATGCTCATTCGATGGTTCTGCCCCAGCTCAAACACGCCCAGAGGGAAACCTTCCCATTCTCCCACACAGAACCAGTTGTTTCCTCACGCCCTGGGGCCACCATTCACGCCTTACTCTTCCCACTGTCCCCAGAGCTTACACGGCTCCTGGCACATAGGTGCTCAGAGCTTGAGGGCTGAACGAATGATGCACACAAGGCTCCCAGCCTCCGATTAAAGAAGTGGTGTGTCTCCTCTATTCCCTTTCCCCCCACAATCTGCGAGCGGACCAGGTCCTGGAGGGTTAGAGCCCGAGGGGTCCCTGGCAATGGGAGGACACACAGCTTTCCGGAGGGCCCTTGGGGGACTGCTGGGCTGCCCGGGCCAGAACCACAATGTGGGCCCCCAGAAGGCAGTGCCATTGTCCAGGAGACGAACCCAATTGGGTTAAGAATCTCAAGTCCCGGCTTGGAAAGCACTGCCTCATGTTCTCTGTGGTCTCTTCTGTGAAGACGCATGTATCCCAGTGTGATTGCTGCATGTTAAAGGGCTGCGTTGGAGGCAGCGTTACCCCTGCAGGGCTTCCTTGGGGAGCTCAAAGCCTTGCAGGCACCAGTTGCAGAGGACCCAGGCGCCTCTCCCAAAGGCACGGTCTCTCCCCCGTCTGCCGGGGTCTCACTCGGCATCCTCATGGGTCGCCCTCCTTACCACAAGGCAAGCAGCTCCTTGTCGCTCAGAATGTGGGGGCCTGGCTGTCAGTCCTCCTCTCCCTGGACCCCCACACTCTGGACTTTAGCCATAGCTCCCTGAGCCTTGGGGCATGCTGCCGCTTTTCAGATTCTTACCTCCCAAGTTCGGTGTCAGGGGAGTCGGCTTTCTCCCAGGTCCCGCTCAGAGCCCTGCTCTTGGTTCCCTGGGCCCCGCACTCCCACACCACAGAGCTGAGTGCTGACGATGCCTGGGTCCTTTTCCACTTCAGCTCTCTGAGGGGTCCTGTGCCCATCCCAAGGGCAAGGGCTTACCTTGGCATTCCCGCGTGGTCCCTGAGGTGGCCGGTCTGTAGCCAGGGTAGCAGAGGCAGGAGTAGGAGCCCACATGGTTGACACAGCGCCCTTTCCCCATGCAGGGGTCCCTCAGACACTCATTGTCATCTGAGCAGAGGGAAGAAGGGAGGGAGATCAGGGGGGCCTTTTTTTTTTATTGTCTAAAGTTTTACATATGTCTCCTTTTTCCCCGATTGACCCCCCCACAACCATTCTCCCTGCCCTCCTCGCAAGCCCCCACTGCCCCAGTGCCTGTGTCCATTGGTTACAAGTCCTTTGGTTGCTCTCTAACCACCACCCACCCCCTGCCACCTTCCCTGCCATTTGTCTCTGGATCTATTTTTGTTCATCAAATTATGTTGATCATTATATCCCACATATGAGTGAGATCATGTGATATTTATCTTTCTCCGACTGGCTTATTTCGCTTAACATAATGTGCTCTAGTTCCATCCATGCTATTGCAAATGGCAAAATTTCCTTTTTTTTTACAGCAGTATAGTATTCCATTGTGTAGATGTACCAGAGTTTTCTAATCCACTCATCTGCTGATGGGCACTTAGGCTGTTTCCAAATCTTAGCTATGGTGAATTGTGCTGCTATGAACATAGGGGTGCATATGTCCTTTCTGATTGGTGTTTCTACTTTCTTGGGGTATA